CTCGTGCTTTTGGGGGAAGCCTAGGTCAGAACATAAATAGCCTATGCACAGGAATATTCTCAAGTAAAAGTTGGTACTGCTAGAAATTAAATAGGGGCTAATAGAGACCAAAGCGGGGAGTGGACTTAGTTTGCTTGTGATTATGTAAGGATTCTAGGAGGAGTCCTCTTTTAACTCCATCCCCAGGTTCTGGCCCTCTTTCTCCTACAACCAGGACATTCAGAGAAAGACTTTGTAAAGAGTTTTGTGAGAACAATCTTGCAATTGTTTTATTACTTCACACAAAAGATCAAGCACCAAAAGCCAATTAAAAAAACAACCTCCCACATTAGCAAAAAGAAAGAAAAAAGTACACCAAGCTGTGCATTCAAAAATAAATGGCAAATAATAATACTTTTTTTAAAAAACTTATCTGAAACACCTCAGATAGCCCTGAAAACATAAGACACTATTTGATGCATACAGAAAAGTCTTTACTGGAAAAAGGGAGCTATTTGCACTCTCTTTAGTGCTCTGTACGGTCAAAGATCCTGTGATAATGTGGGCTGCCAATTCGTGTAATTGTCATACGTGTACAACTTTTTTTGCTGAATATGAACTTTTACCTGGACTCATAAAAAGAAAGAAAGAAAGAAAGGTTTGGTGGAGACGCACTGCTGTGTCACATACAAGGCAGAGGTGGTTTTCAGCCAGTTCTGACAGGTTGTGGAGAACCGGTAGTGGAAATTTTGAGTAGTTCGGAAAACTGGGAAATAGGCTGGCCCCACCCCTGCTGCTTCCCAGCTGATCTTCTTTTGTTGCCCTGAACAGGAGAATGAAGCTGGAAAACAGGTCAGTGGGGTGGGGAGGGAATGGGGATATTGCAGTAACCTTCCCTCAGGAGTGGGGAGAAAATGGGGATTTTGCAGTATCCTTGCCCTGCCACACCCACAAAGTCATGCCCACCAAGCCACGCCCACAGAACCAGTAGTAGAAAAAATTGAATCCCACCACTTAGGCAAGGAATCACTTCATCCAAATTAAACCTGTCACCCCTGGTTTTATAAGAGGAATGAAATCCGTTCCTTTCCAGTAGCAAGTTGAGATTAACTCACCAGGCGTGTGTTAACCACAGGAAACAGGAGAGCAAGAAGGGCCCCATTCAGCATATGCATTTGCAACCTACCAAAATAAAAAAGGGGAAAAAAGAAATGTCACCTTTGCAGCATAAGGGGGTATTTTGCAAGCAATGCACAACAATTGCAGCGGGTTGTAAAATAAATCACCCAGCTGGTTTTGTGACTAAGATGGGATCTAGAACTCACAATCTCCCGGTTTGTAGTCTGGTGCCTTAAATAATATTTCAATTTCAATAGTATTTCAATTCACTCTATTATTATGTATTTATTTATTTATTATTTATTCCTGCCAGTTTTCTTGGTTCAGTCCAATCGTTTGTTTCTTCAATGACTAAAGCAAAGTCATGATAAGTTGTGCCACACAGCTCCGTTTCAAAGCCGAAGAGCCAGCGCTGGCTGAAGACATCTCCGTGGTCATGGGGCCAGCATGACTAAATGCCGAAGGCACACGTAATGCTGTCACTGTCCCACCAAAAGTGGTTCCTATTTTCATTACTTGCAATTTTAGGTGCTTTCGAACTGCTAGTTTGGCAGAAGCTGGGACAAGTAATGGGATTCAAACTGCCAAACTGCCTACCTTTCTGATCGACAAGCTCAGCGTCTTAGCCACTGAGCCACCGCACCCCATGACTCTATGATTCTATATATAAAAAGATCTTCTTGCCCTGGCAGATGAATTATTTAGATTTCTCTCTGCCATCAGTTTGCACACCAGAAAGCCAACCAAGGGAATTCCTGTTGTGTACATCCACCTGAGCAACCCAATTGGAGGGTCCATAACATTAGACATCCTTTGGGGCTCTGCTGCCATCCGAAACATTCCCAAAAGGTGTAACCCAATTGCAATTGTTAATAAAACAGAAGGGGACAATCCTTATTAGGGGGGAATAAAAAAAACAAACAGATCCACATGCAAAGCATGAAGGTAGAAAGGCTGGATAGGAATCCAATCAGAAGGCAACTGGACTTCCTTCATTTTTCTTTGAAAATGTTTTGCTTCTCATCAAGGAGCTTCTTCAGTTCTGACTCAAAGTTCTTGGGTGAGAAGCAAAAAGTCTTCAAGGAAAAACAAAGAAAATCCAGTCGCTTTCGAAGAAAAAAAAACCCTTTGGGGACAACCATGACCAGGATGGCTGAGAACTTCCACAGACATTCAGCCACACGGATACAAATTACAGATGGTCAATGTACTTCAACATAAAGTATAGGCCACCAAGCCACAGAAATGGTCATCATTTAAATGAAGTATTGTATTGGGGTAACTCACTTACCTGAATAGAATCATGGCGAAATGGCAAGGTGGACAAGCCAGTAGAAAAATCTGACATTTAAAAAAACAAAAACAAAAAGGAGTTAGCATCAATCGTTCTATTTAATTTATTTGCATCTTTACATAAATGCAGAAAGACAGAGAGAGGGAGCACACATGAAAGAAATGACTTGTATTTTATTTTTAAACCGCTCAGTCAGACGTTTAAAGCTTGCAATAATTACTATTCAAATATTCCTAGGACAACATTGATTGATTGATTCATTCATTTATAAAATTTATATGCCACCCATTTCACAATCGAACCACTCTGCTGACATCCAGGAGGAACTAACTAACTAACTAACTAACTAACTAACTAACTAACTAACTACCGTAAGACAAGGGTAGGTTCCTGTACTGGTTGGTACCGGTTCGCTTGCGTATGTGCAGTTGACTTTAAATTGTTCTGTGCATACGCAGAAACATGCCGGCAATGGCAGAAGAGACTGGGGAACCGGTTCAGGGGCATGGCGAGCGTGAGTCACTGCCGGTTCTGCGACCCAGGCCAAACCACCACTACCAGTTCGGCTGAACTGAGTGCAACCCAGTTCTGCCATAAGGGACACGGTGGCTCAGTGGCTAAGATGTTGAGCTTGTTGATCAGAAAAATCGGCAGTTTGGCGGTTCGAATCCCTAATGCCACATAATGGAGTGAATGTCCCAGCTTCTGCCAACCTAGTAGTTCGAAAGCATGTAAAAAAAATGCAAGTAGAAAAATAGGAACCACCTTTGGTGGGAAGGGAACAGTGTTTCGTGCGCCTTTGGCATTTAGTCATGCCGGCCACATGACCAGGGAGACGTCTTCGGACCGTGCTGGCTCTTCAGCTTTGGAACAGAGATGAGCACCACCCCCTAGAGTCTGGAACGACTAGCACATATGTNCCGAAGACGTCTCCATGGTCATGTGGCCAGCATGACTAAATGCTGAAGGTGCATGGAACGCTGTTACCTTCCCACCAAAGGTGGTCCCTATTTTTTTTCTACTTGCATTTTTACATGCTTTCAAACTGCTCGGTTGGCAGAAGCTGGGACACGTAATGGGAGTTCCTGCCGTTATGCAGTGCTAGGGATTCGAACTGCCAAACTGCGACCTTTCTGATCGACAAGCTCAGGGTCTTAATCACTGAACCACCGCACTTCATGATTCTATATATAAAAAGCTCTTCTTGCCCTGGCAGATGAATTCCTTCGATTTCTCTCTGCCATCAGTTTGCACATCAGAAAGCCAACCAAGGGAATTCCTGTTGTGTACATCCACAAGCTCAGCGTCTGAGCCACCCCACTGAGATGTTACCTAATTTGGGTAATGAAACATCTGCAAGAAAACATGCAAGAGAACCCCAAGGACCCCTCATTTCAACCCTGAGCTACAAACATTCTCCTTTATTGATATTCTGGTTTCAACCAAGCAACTCTAAACCACACTGCGGTTCTCCCTGAAAGTAGAAAGGGAGGCCTTACAAAACACTAGCAATCCACATCTGTGCGAAGAAAGCCCAAGCCCATGGGTAGCTTCGGAATAGCACTCAATAGCTCTTAAGGGCCTACAGACTCTCTCTTTGTCTTTTGTTGTTTCCCTGGCACATTTTGTAAAGAGCCGCATTCACAAAAGATAACAACCTCCTTTTTCATTCCACTATTTTTAGAAGAGGAGGAAGAGGAGGAGGAGCAAAAACAACAACTTGAATGGGGTTCCTGTCAGATTCCATTTACGTTATTGCTTTCCTCACAGACTTCAGCCTCACAGTTTGAAAAGCAGCTTCAGGGAAACTAATCTGCCGATGACAGAGTTGAAAAGTTGGAATATGACAAGAAAACACCCCTATCTTGCTAGACTAGACTAGACTAGACTAGACTAGAATAGAAAAGAATAGAATAGAATAGAATGGAATAGAATAGAATGGAATAGAATAAATATTGGAATAGAATAGAATTCTTTATTGGCCAAGTGTGATTGGACACACAAGGAATTTGTCTGTGGTGCAGATGCTCTCAGTGGACATAAAAAGACAAGATACATTCGTGAAGAATCATAAGGTACAACACCTAATGATAGTCATTGTGGCACGACATAACCGCGAACGTCAAAAGCGCGCCGACAACACCGCGGCGCTAAAACCGCGATGTCAAAAG